TTTATCAATTTATCTCATATCAATTGATTCGAATGATAAAAAATTCTCAAAGTCGCTGACTTTTTTCTGGAAATTTTCGTGTAAATTGCAATGCTCAGTGATTCCAAGCTTTTGGCCGGTAGTGTACATATGAAATTTAACAAAGAGAGGAAAAATCTGAAAAGGAAAGGAAAAAATCTCCTTTATTTCTCTACAAGTATTTACTTCTCTCCACGCTATCCTAGATCACTTATCACCAATTTCCACGCAAACGACACGACTCCCGGCGAGCAAGATTTCCAAGTGTCGCTTCCTCGGTGGAAGCTGTAATTTTCGTTCCGGTTACCTGAGATTTAGTACAGATAAAAAACGAAGTCACGAGAAGAGACGAAGAAGGAGTTAACAACGCCGGAGGAGAATTCTTTCTCACGTACATATAAACGGAATACGACAGAGCGGAAGAGAGAGAGAGAGAGAGAGATCGAGTGGGGAGAAATATAAAAGAAAGTTTAGCGGATTGGAACTTTCGAGTGATGTGAGGACGCACGTGGAATCGTCGACAGTTAGGCTCACTCTGTCCACGAAATGCGTGAACCAGCATTGTCTCGTTTCCCGTTCACCGTGAACCGTCGAACTTGATATCACTGGGAAAGTGATGAAGTGCACGTGTATCCGTGGTATTTTACAATCGTGCAATTTGTATCGAGGTAAATAAGGGGGAGAGAGAGAGAGAGGATAATTGGATAAACCACGTGGACTTTGAAAATTTTTCAGGATGAACGTGTTTACAGGAGTGAGTATCGATTTGAATTTGTCCTTTTTTTCTCGCATATTTATACCGACGATTCGGGGTTAACTGTTTCGCCGAGTTTCGTTAGATCGCTTTTCGTGCAAATTGACGTTACCTGTTGTTTATACATATAAGCGATGACGAATTGTTTCCGTGAATAATCTTTAACCCTCTGTGGGCCGGTGTAACTTTCAAGTCACATACTAATACATCGATATTTTATTAAATAATTGAACTTTCTTCCACAAAATGGCATAAACGTCTTGTTGTACAATGTCTCCTTATTAACCAGTAACTTCCTTGATAACCGTTGTTACTTCATAGTTGCAATATGTATTCGTTGTGATAAAATTGTCGAAACTGCTGAATTCACTGTTATTCTGTATTTATAGGTCGATATTTGCTAATTTTACGTTACATAAATTCTTACGTTACATAAATTCGGCCCATAGCGGGTTAATATCTCATACGTGCTTGAAATGTTACAAACAGCGCTCTTTCGGCAGAGCTACCTAAATTGGGAAAATGATCGATTTCTAGTTTTTTTATCAGTTGATAAAGCGTGGGGATTTTGTTATCGGTGTACCGTACGTACATTACCGGCCGAAAGTTTGGAATCACTTGCCAATTTATATTAATATCGAGTCTGCTACTAATTCTTTATTGATTTGAAGTTGATGTTGTGGAGATCAATAGCACTTCACCTCATTTCGATTGGAAAATTATTGTAAATGCTAACCTTTTTGGGGAATTTTTGTGCAACTTGCAATGCACAGTGATTCCAAACATTTGACCGGTATGCGAAAAGTAGTTATTTGATACGGTGAATATCTGTTGCATCGAATCAGTTGGTTAATAAACGAAAATTTACGCTTATCGATTATACATTATTAAGACAGACTTCGTTTTCTTTTCTCTTGTTTCTCGCATATTGAACGAAGTATGAATTATCGAAGCAAATAATAATTTGATCAATTTGTGATCTGCATAAACTCTAATTATAATTATTCAGCGTCTCAGACGTTTGGGAGAATAAAAATTGTTCGTTAATTATAACTATATATTCTTGTCCAATTTGTAACCTGAGTAAATCGCAGTTGTAACTGTCCAATGTCTCAGATGCTCGGAGAAATAAAAATCGTTCTCCAACTATAATTATCGAGGGAATGAAAATGATTAAGTAAACAACAATTTACACGGTTTCTCTCGAGTAAAATCTGATTTACGTGAACGAAATTTCGAGCAAAGTGAGCACAGAATTTCCACATCTGTACTTAAGACAGTAATAGAAAGCGTTCAAGAGTCATGCTTTAATTATGCGTGTCTATTATTACGTCTTGTCCTGCTTTCATCTCGCGACATATCTCCAGAATATCACGAAACATCAGTTTCTCTTAATCCCGATAGCGTCGACGATGTTTATCGCGGGCACAGTGTTATGGCACAGTTTGATTTTCGAAATTGGTCAGAGACGTCAATATCGCCGAAAGGAATTGGCTGCAAGTGGACAGCGTTTCGATAACTTGAAACACAGAGACCGCATGGTGAAGTTTCACGTGTCAAATGATTTTGCAGTATATTTGCTATGAAGCGAGAGTAAGGACTGTTATTGGTAAAATTAAAAATTCTACAAATTAACAATGACATTTTACATTTCTATGTTTCACAATTTGCAATGTTTGTTGCTGTTGAAAGAAATATTAACGAAAATAAACTTTTATTTTTACAACGAGTTTTCGAATAAAATCGATTATAATATTAAATATCATTTGATAGAGTGTGAAGAGTATTTTTTTTTTTAATCATTTGTTGTGCACTCGCTATCAGATAGACACCAGCGTTCGCGACATAAATTTCACTTGTTAGCCTGAGTTCAACGTCACTTTCACCGAGCTCGAAGAATTGGACAAACTGCTCGCAGAAATGTCCCCGACAAATTGACCAATTCGATTCGCCTTTGTCTTAATAGAGCGACCAGTAATTTGGTCAATTCACGGAGAGCCTCTCTTATTGAAAATTTAACGAGCCTCGACGAATTCACCTATACACCCAATTCTCTCTTTACACGGTAGATACGTTCCAGAGAAAACCGTGTAAAACAAGACATCGTGTACATGTATAGAAAAATAGGGGATTGGTTCCTGTAAAAAATAGCTATAATGAAAGGATTCGTATAAGGAACTTTATCAAGAGTCTTTATAAAAAGCCAAGTTTGATTTGTACGTACATTCACGCGCGGTTTATTTCATAAAAGCAAAAGGTAATTGAATTCTTAAAGTAATAGTAACACGTGTAAATTAAAAATAATCAGAAAACAGCGATAGCGATGGAAACAACGTAACTTTACTCGCTGTCAGCATCGGATATCGTACGCTCGTTTGCGTAAGACTGGTTCAAAATCACTATCATCGCTCGAAATATCGAATGAAAATGTGTAAAAGGGAAGTTGAATTTGAAATCAGAACCGTGTAAAAACAGAATCGGGTGAAATTATGAACTAGAAATCCTGAAATTTCTATAATCTTGCTTAACGACGATAAAATCAGATACCTGTTGCACCAGTTTCGTTCGAAATTTATAGTTCCCCCCGTAGCGCTTTTATAATTGTCATTCGTACAGCGTGATAGTGAAACTCTTACGACACAATGCCGGATAATTGTGTAGGGATGACCGAGTGTGAGTGTGTTGTTTGTATGAATGCGTTGTCTGTGTGAATGCGTGAGGGTCTATGGCCGGAGCGGTAAGGACCGGCGTGCCAGGTCGAGTGTTTGGGATAGCGCGAAAGATATTGAACGAATGTTTAGTTTTAGTAATCAGGCGAGGAGTGCGTGAGTGCGTGTGTGTTTTCTTCTAACGAAAAGTGTGCATGTATGCAAGATGACATTAGGGCGAATGCGAGGGAGCGAAAGGCAGTATGAATCCAGCGATTGATTGAGCGACATCCTGAGCGTAGCACGTATAAAGTATTAATAAATATAGTATAGTCAAAAGTCCGTTCGAGTTTACTATCCCTCCTCACATAAATCCCCTACAATTGTGTATATAAAAATTTGGTAATAATTTTCATCAATCTAATTTCAATCATTCTAATACAAAGATTCTATGGAAATAAATCTTTTCTCTTTAACTGATACGACGTCGATAATTTATTGCTGCACCAGCGCTGTTTTCTAGTTGTATTTTTCCCATTGCTGCTCGACTTGGTTGAAATAGGAGAGGCTTACAAACTGATCAGGCCGTACAAGTATTATCAGCCAAGGCCATGGCGACGACCACGATGGTATACAGGTCACAAATCATCCAAGTTCCACCATTCTAACAGGATACCGCCGGAAGACTATTATTCTGGCAAGCCAAGTTATTACAGGTACGGAACGAGTACTAAACTCGGCGATATGAAATTCGTTTGCAGAATAGTGCAGTATGGGTATTGAATGGTGGTGTTGAGTCTGTTGGATTATGGGAGTTATTGGTTGTTAAATAATTAATAATCTGTAAGCACAGCTTAAAAAGAATTTAACACAGGATAGTGTGGTATCCAAAAATCTATTTATTCTATAATCCTAAGCGACTGCTAGGTGTTCCGGTGTCCGTCTCGCTCGACGGCTATTTCCAGAGTGTCCTTTCCGCGTCGTATCCCGCGTTGGAGCCCCATCGTTCGAGTTTTCGGGGAAAGGGCTTAGTTTAGACCAAGGGCGTGGTCTATGAAAATTTGCCTTGTTATTGTGAGATATTTGTTGAAAAATTCACGTTTCAGACACGGTTCGACGGAAGGCAATCTCGACAGGTACGCCGAGAGTCATCCTTACACGATCGTGATACAATTGCCGAAAGGCGATAGTAAATACGGGCTCGATAATTACGGAGACAGGAAGAGGAATTACGAGAGAGATACGATTCCGGCGTATAACAACGAGAACGATTACATCGACGATGAGGATGACTTCGAAGCGAAGACGGTCAAGGTTAACGACAAAAAGGTGCAAATAAAGGTAAACTTCAGGAAATGTTGGCATGAAATTTTTTATTATACGTCAAATAATTGTTTCTCGTGCAGAAATGATATTGTAACGTACTGCTGCGAATTGTTGTTACTTAAAGATGAATGTTACGGAACGGGCCGTAACGGTTGAGATCGCCTTCGTTTCGTGTTGGTTAAAGGCGTAAAGTTCCAGAAATGTGTTTGATGTCGTTTTATTTAACGTTTAGTACGAACGGGTGTCGTTCTAGGTGTATTGTTTTAGACTGTCTTGATTTTTGGCGTAGAGTCACCCGGCGTAGATCCGCCGTATACTCTAAAAGAATTTGGAGAAGTTAGGTAGCCTAAAATAAAATTTATTAATTTAAGAAATAACCCTTATAGAAATAATTCCTTATTTGCGTATATGAAACAGCAATAAACAAGATGAGCTAAAGTTAAATCAAACCGTGATGCATTCTCAGCGGAGGGGGACAGACATACCGCAACATACGAGTAATCCGCCATTCCAATGTTGGACTGCAATTCTGAAATTCCGTGTAGATGTATTAACACGGTGGAAATTGTGAATGCGGTAGAACTTGTAATGGTCAACGATTAAACGAAATATTGTATCAAATTCCGGAACATTTCACATGTGCGTTGTTACTTTTATGCCTTTCTTCGGTGATGAATTTTCTCACATTTTCATCGTTCTCAGTCGTTACGCATATTGCGTGACTAATATAAATTATTGTCTGATCAATGTAAGTTAATTATTAATTTAAACGTTATTAACGTATTAAGTTGTTAGTAATATCGTAATTAGTGGATTACTTACTTATACGTGTGGTGTATGATTATTTTGCTGACTTTAAAATACTGGGAATGAAAACAAGGACAATTTTAGGAAACATTGAAAAGATCGCTGGTGCAAAAATGAATTGAAAATTGTTTAGGAGAGTTCTATAACAAAACGATTTAAATAATCTCTAACTTAAATACATTTACTGTTTGAATGTCGAGCGTTTTATTATTGCAAGGAGTATTAAAACATCTAAGAAAATGAAGAGTTTACTTGTGAATGCATTCGACTGTAAGATTTTTCGTATAAAATACACTTTTTTATGATTGCAGATGGTTAAAGGACAAAATCCAAAATTGCACATTAAAATTTCTAGATCTGATAACGATCCGAATATAATTATTGTGGACAAATTAAATGCTACCACTACGGATTTACCATTGCCGCAAACTGTGTATGCAAATTCAGCGCTGTACATTCAAGAATCGAAGGAAAACTGGACGTCCGCGTCGTACTTGGAAAATGTTTAATGACGAATTGGGTGGAAGAATTATTTTTAACAGTATTGAAATGAAATTATTCAATCGTAATAGAGTTACCGCGTAACGTTAGCTTTAGGTATTTATTACATATCGTTTTGTCATTGTAGAATGGAATTAATTGTTACTGTATTGTTCATTTTAAGCAACAATAAAATACTGTATTATGATGAAATGTAGAATTATTAGAGGAAAAATAATAATATACCTTTTCACAATGAAAGAAATCATTATGCACAGGTATTTGTATTTTAACAAGCTTTTATTTGTTTATTATTAATTTCTAATCGTTATTTAAAATACGGTAAATTTGCATGCTTCAAGTGTTGATAAAATCATGATTACAAATTGGGTATTTTAAAAGCTTGCATTTGTAAAATAAATGTACACTGTGTTTAAAGGTTTCTTACGGTTAAATGAACGATAGAATGTGTAAATTAAATACAGAAACGAAGCGGTATTAGTAGAAAGAAGCATTAGAACGTCACTGGTTCATTTAGAAAGTTTATCGAAGAGAAAAAGACAGGAAAAATACTGGCCTTTATTGCGTTCACAATAAAAATCGTTTCCTTACCTTGCGCTATATTAAATGTTTAGTTATAAATAGTCTACATTCTAAAGCAGCATAATTTAATAAATGAATAAATTAATAAAGCTTCCATTTTATTTTGCAGTACTTTAATCGGAGAATAGTTGGTATTCCTTGTTAAATAACAATTTTGACGATAGGTTATGGTTATTGGAAATGTTAAATAAATTTGTTGCACGGTTTATCTTGATAATACAGCTTAATTTCAACAGCTTAGTATCACGCAGTTCTTCATTGGAAGAGTTCTCATTTGGGGGTTTTAACAAAGCCCAGAGGAATTGTTCTGCTCAGTCTGCCGTCAGCGTTCAAAGCGGAAGGACCGAGACCATCGTCAGGAACGAAGTATAACAGGTTAGTTAATTTTTCCAATAGAAATCCTTTGAATTTGATGCTTTTAATAATAGTTATTGTAAATTAGAGCATGATTGCACGTAGTAAGCAGTTTAAAATTGATACTTTTAAGAAATTTTCAACTGCTCTAACGTTGCTCATAATGCAGTTAGTAAGATTAAATTTATACTTCATTTTTAAGTACTTTGACTATAGAATAATGAGTATTTCCAGTTAAATAACAATTTACACCATTGTTTATAATTATTGTATGCCTTAAATAGTATTATCGTACGTTTCAACTGAATAAAACAGCTCAATATATTAGTTTTCCTTTGAATTAACCATTGCATTCGATAGATTAGTCAGAAATAGTTTATAACTTTTATTACAAATTGGAAAAATTAATGTTCTTTGCGTATGAATTACAGATGGACCTTCCAGGACAACCTAGAAATCAAGGAAAGGACTTGAACATCAGGAAAACTGAAGAAATGCAATTACTTGTGAATAAATCAATTATTTATTGTAAAATTATTGTTTAAACTGTGTATTGCAAAAGGTTACAATATACCAGTATTGTTTTACAGCACTTTACACTCTATTTACTGCTCCCTTACACTCCAAATCCATTTGTTTATGCAATAAACCCATTGTTTAAACAATTTTCCGTTGCAAAAGTCGATAAATTAATGGCAGAAACCACCAGGAATGCGTTTCCATCGGAAAAATCGAAAAAATCCCGAAATTCGAGCGAAAACTACGAAAATTAGAGAAAGATTTCGAAAATCGCGCCGAATATACTCGTTCGGTGCTAAGGTCCTCGAGAATTCCTGGAATTTTCGTCATTTCTCGGAAATGACCAAATTTCCGAGAATCGAGGCGATTCCGAGAATTGACCAACGGGCCTTCGAAACTTTCAGTTCTCGGAAATTCCTGGAATTTTCGTCATTTCTCGGAATCAACGAAATTTCCAAGAATCGAGGCGATTCCGAGAATTGACCAATGGGCCTTCGAAAATTTCAGTTCTCGAGAATTCTTGGAATTTTCGTCATTTCTCGGAAATGACCAAATTTCCGAGAATTGACCAATGGGCCTTCGAAACTTTCAGTTCTCGGGAATTCCTGGAATTTTCGTCATTTCTCGGAAATGACGAAATTTCCAAGAATCGAGGCGATTCCGAGAATTGACCAATGGGCCTTCGAAAATTTCAGTTCTCGAGAATTCCTGGAATTTTCGTCATTTCCGAGAAATGACGAAATTTCCAAGAATCGAGGCGATTCTTGGAATCGACCTCCTATCACATCATGTTCGCCTATTAGAAAGTCGATTTTCGTCCAAAGGGTCTCCGAAAATTTCAGTTCTCGAGAATTCCTGGAATTTTCGTCATTTCCGAGAAATGACGAAAATTCCAGGAATTCTCGAGAACTGAAATTTTCGGAGACCCTTTGGACGAAAATCGACTTTCTAATAGGCGAACATGATATGATAGGAGGTCGCTTCCTGGAAGTGACTCGATTCTCGGAAATGACGAAATTTCCGAGAATCGAAGCGATTCCAAGATTTGACCAATGGGCCTCCGAAACTTTCAGTTCTCGAGAATTCCTGGAATTTTCGTCATTTCTCGGAAATGACGAAATTTCCGAGAATCGAGGCGATTCCAAGAATTGACTAATGGGCCTTCGAAACATTCGGTTCTCGAGAATTCCTGGAATTTTCGTCATTTCTCGGAAATGACGAAATTTCCGAGAATCGAGGCGATTCCAAGAATTGACTAATTGGCCTTCGAAACATTCGGTTCTCGAGAATTCCTGGAATTTTCGTCATTTCTCGGAAATGACGAAATTTCCAAGAATCGAGGCGATTCCGAGAATTGACCAATGGGCCTTCGAAAATTTCAGTCCTCGAGAATTCCTGGAATTTACGTCATTTCTCGGAAATGACGAAATTTCCAAGAATCGAGGCGATTCCGAGAATTGACCAATGGGCCTTCGAAAATTTCAGTCCTCGAGAATTCCTGGAATTTTCGAGAACCGAATGTTTCGAAGGCCAATTAGTCAATTCTTGGAATCGCCTCGATTCTCGGAAATTTCGTCATTTCCGAGAAATGACGTAAATTCCAGGAATTCTCGAGGACCTTAGCACCGAACGAGTATATACGCGCGATTTTCGAATACTTTCTCTAATTTTCGTAGTTTTCGCTCGAATTTCGGGATTTTTTCGATTTTTCCGATGGAAACGCATTCCTGGTGGTTTCTGCCATTAATTTATCGACTTTTGCAACGGAAAATTGTTTAAACAATGGGTTTATTGCATAAACAAATGGATTTGGAGTGTAAGGTAGCAGTAAATAGACTGTAAAGTGCTGTAAAACAATACTGGTATATTGTAACCTTTTGTAATATACATTTTAAACAATAATTTTACAATAAATAATTGGTTTTCTCATAAACAATGGGTTTTATACAAAGGAAATGAATTTGGTGCGAAAGGGAGGAGTAAATAGACTGTAAAACGCTGTAAAACAATACTGGTATATTGTAACCTTTTGTAATATACATTTTAAACAATAATTTTACAATAAATCATTGATTTCTTGATAAATAATTGTATTTCTTCATTTTTCCTGATGTAGAAGTCCTTTCCTTTATTCCTGCGGTGGCCTTGTACACTCCATATATTATTTAAACAAAAAGAACATGAATTTTCAAATCTTAAATAAAAGTTATAAACAATTTCTAACTAATCTACTGCATGCAATTGTTAGTTCGATGCAAAATTAATAAATGAAGCTGTTTTATTATGTTGAATCATGCAGCAAATATATCTAATACTTCTAACAATTCTGAACTATCACCTAAATCGTTATTTAACAAGAAACGCTAATTATTCTACAATTTAAGTACGTGAAAATAAACCAGAAACTTTATTTTACTATCCTCATTATTAGTAATGTTAAAGCAATTGAAAATTTCTTAAAAGTATCAATGTTAAACTGCTTGCTACACACAATTATGCTCTAATTTGCAATAACTATTATTAACAGTATAAAATTCAAAGAATTTCTATTTGAAAAATCGACTTACCTAATTAAATACTTCATTTCTGACCATTCTCTCGATGTTGCTCTCGATCCTTCCGCTTTGAACGCTGACGGCAGACTGACTGTGAGCAGAACAGTCCCTCTGGTCTACCTTAATATCCCAAAATGAAACTCTTCCAATCTAAAGCTGCGTGATTTCTAATGTTCCTCAATGCTTCTAATTAATAAGTTCTCTGTAAAAACCAACTTTGAAAGTATTCCCATTACAAAACGATAAGCGAAATGTGAGTTAAGCCAAGCTTTGGTCTTCAATTGTCTCACAGTTAATGGTGGCCGAGGAAACGAATGCCACCTGAATGACACGGTTCTGGGGTGGAATCCTTTAAAAAATACTATTGATTTTCACCCGTACCACTTTTATTCACGAAGCATTGTTTCCAGAAAGACACGATCTTTCCAATTGCACAATGGTACCTGTAAATTGAACGATTCACGTTAAATCCTTTGAACCTGCGAAAAAGAAGGTTTTGTAAAAATGAAAGAAGAAATACGTAATAATAGCAGTTATACAATGTTAATATAAAGTTTACAACATCAGTAGTTAAACAGAAATGAAACCGAGAGAGAAAATGTTCGATTAAAATTCAACCTGAAATTTTTACCATTTTATTAATCCTTATTTATATTGCAATCGTATGATACTTCTCGTTGAAATTTCGATATTTTTAACGTTTATAATACTTCGCATTCAATATTCCAAAAATATCGCCTGCATTTTTAATCACTCTAATTACCATGCTTATTAAATTTCCTCGACGCACCCTTTGCTGCTCCACGAAACTTAATTCTTCTGCAAGCTCCTGAAAATGATCCCACTGCGAAATATTTAATACGAACCTTTGTTCACCGGAGTAAAGTACCGACGATATACTTCATCTCGAAACAATGATTACCTTACTCTTTGAATTATTCCCGTGGTAAACGAATTTTGACGCGTTCATTAAAACGATACCTCGTTGAAATGTCACG